AGACAGTAATCTGTAGCATTCAATTCATTCTGCCCTGCTCCAATATTCCTGATTCTTGGCAACAGAAGAATGGTTCTTTATTGTTTCCACCACCAAAAACTGGGTGAAAGTGAAGACCTGGAATTTTCTAGGAAAGCTTTAACATCTTTCTTGGGGTGCCTTGAGCGACCAAAGGTTGAATAACCTCTGGTCTAGTTCAAGGACTGAGAGTTGAGCCTTCAAGATTCTTTTCCAAGGTCTATAGAGAATCACAGTGTGCAGAACAAGCTCCTGGAAAATGGACTATTCCCAAGTTTTTGGGGCCTCTGTTCACCTTATTCAATAAAAGAAAGAAGGTTGGTGCATTGGCAACTGTGTAGATGCCTTACTGCACAGTAACACTGTGTGTGTGGACTGATTTTGGACTAACTTTTGTTCCAAGTCAGTCCATATACAGTGTTAGTGCTCTTTAATAACTGCATGTGTAGATGCCGGCCTATTCCTGTTTACTACACAGTAATTTACTGCACAGTAAATTTAAACCAGTATAAATGCACATGTAGACACTCTCCTTGTCTTGCAAAACACAATCTAGATCTCCTGCACACTGGATGAACATATACCATGTTGGCATCTTTGTTCATTTACCTGACAAATTTTGGATACAAAGAGCTGAGAAACACCCTAGTACAAACAGCTAGCGATCCAGCTACAAAATAACCCAAATGCAGTCTAGATGGGAGGTGAGGAGTATAACATACTTACATGCCTGACATATTAGAAGCCTTCAGAGAAGGTCTAATATACCAGTATTGTGATGATTTGTACAAAATATAGAAGCCATAGTCACTGTCACTCATAACAGTTGTTGTGCTGCCATTCACCTTTGGCATAAAGATCTTGTGGCTCAAGAATTTGGCAGGGGAACAGAACACCTTGGTTCTTGGCCCTCTTTGGCCTGATGGAGTTAAAAGTCAAAACTTCTTCCTTCCCTGGAGAGTTTCCAGTCACCAGACTATGTGAAGCACCACCTAATTCTTCTTGGTGAAGATTGACCTCTGTGCCACCAATAATTCAGGTGCCAGAAGCACAAGGCCATAGGAAGCCGGGGCTAGACCCTAAAGGTTAACAACTCAAGAAATCAGGAAAACACAAGACTAGGGAGGCAAGAAGTCCAATTAAAGATGGAGGTTGGGAGTGTGGCAGGCCAGTAGGGGGAGCTCCTGTGCTGAGCCACCCACCTCCCTGTGCGTGATCAACTTCCAGGCTCCAAGTGCCTCCCTGGGGTAACTCGTGTCTGGCCAAAACCCTTCCTGGAGCACACCCACAAGCCTAGGTGTACCACAACCACCACCCAGGGTCTGGACTGTTTCTAGGCCCTGTGGCCCCTGGGGGTCCACAGGCCTTGTAGTCCTAGAGGGGTACTCAACCCACTGCAAGAACTTGGAGTGCTTCCCTTATTTTGAAGCACAAATAGGGGTCTCTCTTAGCTGAACCAAGGGGACCCTAAGGCATAATCTAGGCGCTTTCTCAATAAGTCTCCCATGCTAGGTACAGAGGAGAAGCTTATTGATTACATGGAGTAGGTTTGGAGTAGGGTGTACACGATAGAGCAATATCAGAGAAATACCTTAGAGCAAATGGGGTGGCTGGGTAGCCTTTGATCACACATCTGTGTTACTGAAAGCTATATATCTAGTTAGCTCTCAAGTAGTTTACTCACAAGTATCATCCAGAGGTTGATAGAGCTATCCTCTAAATGCAGGCAGGTCATAGTATGTCCATGCATTTCAAGAGAGAGAGTTGCTCAGGTTCATCTGCTCTCAGTGTCATCATCCTGGCTGCTTCACCTCTTCCTGGGCAGTCTTTAATTTATATAGACCTTATGACCTCACTCTGGGGTCCAATGGAGATTAGTTGAAATGGGCTACAACCTAATCAATTGGAAATGCATCGCTGGTTGCCGGGTAAAGGGACAGTGGCTTTTGCCTCCCCTCCCAGCCATGAGGTCATTGCTTAGGACAATGGAGAGTTTAAGCCCCCCACCGCCAAGGTGTGTGAAGCCAGTCATGTTGGCAAAGGGAGCAGGTCCCCCACCCCCATCAGGAATGTATCCAGCTCAAGTTACAACTTAGGGTTATCTGAAGCAGATGGGGGGGGGGGCTGCCCTCTGCAGTGACCATGGTAACCAAACTGTCAGATAGCTAATAAGACTGAAAGCAGAGTTTGGGGAGATACTGAGAAGGCATTCTGCCACAGGGAGAAGGTGGGTATAAGGCCATGATGGACCATGATGTAAGCAGTCACCTGGGTGAAACCATGAATGACAGAGTGTTAGAAATGGGATACATGGATCTAGATGGATGTAACTAGCCGAGGCTACATCTGTTAATATTTCCCACCCAAAAATGACCTGTCCCACACCCTCAAAACATCCCAGATATTTTCAACATAAAGACATGACACGCCTAGTTGAAAACAGTTCATATGAGACAAACTACATTTATCAGGAAAGCTGTTTGATCTGAAATCTGATTAGGACCAAAACTGTCTCAAAGCACTATAAAACCTGGAGTTCAATAACAGAGGAAAATATCCCCAAAATATTACATTCTCAGGACTCATCCAGCATTAGAAATAAATGTGTATTTGGAGGATATGAACAGCTGGTGCATTCTGGGTAACTTCCCCATTCTTGCTGTCTACATAGCAGAGGATGGGAATATGCTTTCTTCCTTCTCTTCATCCCCTTTCAGTAAGGTGATGAGTGGGTCAGCAACATATAACCATATGACTTGGGAGGCAAGGGGGGCACAAAGTTAGCCATCCACCCCCACCCTGTTGTTCACTGTGTTAATTAGCCAGCTGCCTTTGGGATGCTACAGACCCAGAACAGGAACACTAGCTCTGGAAAGTGAAATGGATGATCATTCCATGAAATATGGAACCACAGCTTGGATGTAACCCCAGAATAATTCCAGCTATTTGTCCCTAAAACACAGCTAGCTATATGGCAGATGTAGGGTTCTTGAGAGAATGAGCTGCGAGGAAATCTTGTCTTACCAGTGGCACATGCATCATTGAAGAAGGACTAAGGGCATAGGACACCTGGGTTCTTCAGTGGAGAAACTCATTCCCAGCTGGATTCAAGGAGGTAGGATGGTATCTCCCCAGCTGGTAACCAATCAGGCATACTGTGGGTTAGTGCCCAGGTTCTGGGTAAGAAAACAGAGAAATTTACCAGTTTCTGAGATCATGGGACCATGGAGTCTTATGAACTGCCTGATGTGCTATGGCACCAACATGCCAATAGGCAGTGTCCTTGCTTGACTAACCCAGTATAAAATTCCCCCTCCTGACATCAGAATGGGGTTCAGTCACTGAAGAGAAGAGGATCCAAGCAGACAGAAAGGTAAGCAAGGGGGAGTAGGATCATTTCACAGCTTTTTTAGTCACTCAGGAGAAGATGAAGCCACAGAGGCCCTGTGTAGAGCTGATCTGGGCAAGGGCCCAAAAAGCATGGCCCATGAGTCTGTGTCTATGCCAAGGTGTTGGGCAGTACTGTATGAACTTTATTCCACTGCTCCAATATGGGGAGGTATTGGGGTGGATTCTGGGCTAGATAATAAGGGTGTATAAAGCAGGCCCTATTCGATTCAGCCTGAATCAGGGACAGTGATTCAATTTGTTGATTCAGATCACCATCCCTGATTTGATTCAGCTGAATCTGAAGATTTCATGCTGATTCAAAGAATCAGCAATTCAGACATAGGTACAGATTTACAAGTTTTTTCTACATACCTTGAGGTAGCAGGTGTGGCTCATGATTGCTATGATGCTGGGGCACATGGAGCTTCCCACAGGAGTGCAGGGGAGTGGGGGGGCTCCACATGCTCGGTGGTGAACCCAGAAGTGTACTGGAAGTACTTCCAGTTCACTTCTGGGTCTGCAGGGCAGTGCACTGCTCCCCCCTCACCTCCCTGGCTCAGCAATCAGCCACAGGGGGACCCTGGGTGGCTCCCTCCAGACCCAGAAGACACCATTCACCAAGCCAGGGGGGCATGGAGGGGGGCAGCACATTCTCCAGTGGACCTGGAAGTGGACTGGAAGTGCTTCTGGTCCACTTCTGGGTCTGCTGCTCAGTGTGCTGAGGAGGCCCCACACTTCTGTGGGACACTCCATGCACCCTAGCATCACAGCACTCATGAGCCGTGATACCTAGAGGCATATAGAAAAAACATTTAAAGCTGTCTCTATGCTTGAATCTCCAAATCACTGAATCTTTCTGAATCTCTCCAAATTGATTTGGAGGGTGCTGATTTGATTCAGAGAAACTAAAGGGTCCTCTGATTCAATTCAGATTCGGAGATTCAGCCACCAAATCAGGCTGAATCTCCAAAGAATTGAATCAGGGACTCAAGCTTTGCACAGCCCGACTACATAAATCTGTTCATTTGAATTGTGGTAGGATGCATTTACACTGGGCTCCAACTGCTCTGTTCTGGAGAAGGATAACATCCAGGATGGTAGCCAGGCAGGGGGAAATAAGGATAACATATTCAAGCGCTAGATCCTGATCTCTATTATGATATAGCAGGCATACCCCAGTTGGGAGGAGGCTGCTCAGGTTTTACACTGAGGTAGCTCAGGTTAGAGCCAAGTGTAACTACATTGAATCACTTTGGATTTACCTTGAGGGAAGAAGGTCCAAGTGTGGATTCCCCTGCATTTTTGAGGGAGAGAAGTTGGAGGGATTCACTGATTTATATCAGCTGAAGATGCATCTCTAGGAGGCAGCTTTCAGAGGGATGGAACAGGCATAACTCCCACCAAAATCACACTCTACATTCACTGGTTTACCAACCTGAGACTTGGGCCGTTTCAATTTTCAAACACAGGAAGGGCATGTGGACTGTAATGACTGTACTGCATTTGACATTCTTTTCCATACAGAAATCCAGTCTTCCTTGTGGAAACACAGTCTCTGCAGCATGATGCATCAGGAGAGAGATTTCAGGGCCATGGATGAGGAAGCCACCCTTCTTGCTTCTTCTCCTGTCCCTCAAGGAGATGGGATATCACTTATCTCTGAATCAGCATTCATGGATTCTGCAACGTGTAACCCACAAGAATGCATTGAATGTGCGATTGCAAATGGAATGAAATCCCTCGTGTCAGTAGCCAAGCAATTGCAGCATGAAGGGTTTGGCACTCAGGTAGCTGAACTCATTAAATGTGCCTTCAAGAAACTGAGAGCTGCGAAGGAGCTGGCTGAAAGCAAACAGAATGCAGCCGATTCTCACAACCAGATGTTCCTTGCTGAGCAGCAGAATCTGGAAGAAGAAAAGAAGCAGAAAAAAAAGGATCTCTCATTGTTGGAACTCAATCTGGAATACAACAAAGAAATGGTAAAGATGCATGAAGACATGGAGAAAACTGCAAACAAACACCTGGAAAAACTGCAGAAGGAGCTGAACAGTGTTAAAAAAAATGAAAAGTTGGAGATATATATAAGGAACTTCTTCATAGTTTTCTTGCCTCTTTACATCCTCATCGGTAAGACTAACTCAGACTTACCCTTCCCTTGGAGTGGGGTGGACTGGGGACACTAGATTTTTTTTCATGTGTCTAGTAACACATTGCTTTTGAAATGAACCCACAAGTAAAGGCCATATATTCTTGCCTATAGCACACCCCAGAATAAAATACATACGTTGTTTTGGGAAAGTCTGGAATGAAAAAAAAAGGTATTTCCTTGTAATAAGTAACTGATCAGCAGCAGTGAAAAAGCCAAGCCTGCTCACTGTTCTGCTCATTGTGTGTTGTGTGCTTTATCTTTGGTTTAATTGCCATATTTCTTGCATATAACGTACCCTGCAGGCTTGATGTTCCACTAACCAAGCTAACCTTTCTTCTGGCAATTTTGCTGTCTGATAGATGTCCCTGTTCTCTCTTCTTGGCACTGGAAACTCTTTTTAGTTCTTTTCAAAATCATAAAGCCACCCATGGAGACCAACAGTCTTCAGCAGCAGCTAGGAATTCAGCTTTAGGTTAAACAGGAAAGGGAGGGTGATCTGAAGCTTAGGTTCTGTAACTGGTTTATGCAGCCATAATTCTGGAGCAAAAAAAATAATTTTTATTCATTCTTCATTCCCCCAAAAAGGTGTGTGTCTTAGTTGGTGGAATGTGATATGCAAAGAAATATGATCATTTGATCCAGAGTTGCTGTATAGGTATCTGTTGGGAATTGTAGCTCAGGTTCATGGGGCTTCCATTCCCCTCTGTTCCAGGATGCTGGGACTAGAAAGCTTCTTTATTTTCATCATGTGATCCTCCTCTTGGTGAGGCCACGTGAGACATCCCAGAGTCCATGGCTGTGATATATTATGGGAGTTCTAATCCTGCAGGAGAACCTGGTTTACAGAAATGAGTGCAGTTTTGAGCTAACTGAATTGCATTTCCCACAGGCACTATGTCACATTCTTTTCTTTTTGCATCTGTTTTCTTATTTGATCAAAAAAAATTTTTTATCATAAAACAGAATCATAGAGAAGCCAGGTTAGAAAGGACCTCCAGAGGCCATCCAGTCCAACCCCCTCCCTGAGGCAGGATCAACCCTGTCCAAACCATCCTATACAAATTCATAATCTAATCTATTCATAAAAATATGAAAAAATAAGATTTTGCCATCCTTGGCAAAATCTTTGAAAAAATTATCAAGGCTCACATTTGCAAGAGCCCGGCAGGACAAATTATGCTTAGGGGAAACCAGCACGGGTTTGTGGCAGGCAGATCATGCCTGACTAATCTAGTCTCTTTTTATGACCAGGTTACGAAACGCCTGGACACAGGAGGAGGGGTGGATGTTGTATACTTAGATTTCAGGAAGGCCTTCGATACGGTACCTGACCCCATACTGGTGAACAAGTTAAGAGGCTGTGACTTGGATGACTACACAGTCCGGTGGGTGGCGAATTGGCTGGAGGGTCGCACCCAGAGAGTCGTGGTGGATGGGTCGGTTTTGACCTGGAAGGGTGTGGGCAGTGGGGTCCCGCAGGGCTCGATCCTGGGACCGATACTCTTTAATGTCTTCATCAGTGACTTGGACGAGGGAGTGAAATGTACTCTGTCCAAGTTTGCAGATGACAGAAAGCTATGGGGAGAAGTGGACACGCCGGAGGGCAGGGAACAACTACAAGCAGACCTGGACAGGTTGGACAAGTGGGCAGAAAACAACAGAATGCAGTTCAACAAGGAGAAATGCAAAGTGCTGCACCTAGGGAGGAAAAATGTCCAGCACACCTACAGCCTAGGAAATGACCTGCTGGGTAGCACGGAAATGGAAAGGGATCTTGGAGTCCTAGTGGACTCCAAAATGAACATGAGTCGGCAGTGTGACGAAGCCATCAGAAAAACCAATGGCACTTTATCGTGCATCAGCAGATGCATGACGAATAGGTCCAAGGAGGTGATACTTCCCCTCTATCGGGCGCTGGTCAGACCGCAGTTGGAGTACTGCGTGCAATTCTGGGCGCCGCACTTCAAGAGGGATGCGGATAACCTGGAGAGGGTCCAGAGAAGGGCCACTCGTATAGTTAGGGGCCTGCGGACCAAGCCCTACGAGGAGAGACTAGAGAAACTGGACCTTTTCAGCCTCTGCAAGAGAAGGTTGAGAGGCGACCTTGTGGCTGCCTATAAGTTCATCACGGGGGCACAGAAGGGAATTGCTGAGGTTTTTTTCACCAAGTTGCCCCTGGGGGTTACAAGAAATAATGGCCACAAGCTAGCAGAGAGCAGATTTAGATTGGACATTAGGAGGAACTTCTTCACAGTTCGAGTGGCCATGGTCTGGAACGGGCTCCCAAGGGAGTTGGTGCTCTCCCCTACCCTGGGGGTCTTCAAGAGGAGGTTAGATAAGCATCTAGCTGTGGTCATCTAAACCCAGCACTCTTTCCTGCCTATGCAGGGGGTTAGACTCGATGATCTATTGAGGTCCCTTCCGACCCTAACATCTATGAATCTATGAATCAACACTGCCGCATCACAATACATAATACCTGAATCTGCCACAGATAAAGCAGGGGAACCTCAGAGGCCAACATCCTGCTTCTGTAAAAAAGTTGTTAATATATAGAGATCCCAGGTACAGCTCATAATCCCTTATACAAAGGAAGTCACCGCCCCCCTGCCCCTGGGTTCATTCCAATCTGACAATGGGTTAAAATTCCCTCCTGACCCCAAATATGGTGATAAGTATGATCCTGAGTGGTGGGGCAAGACCCTATAGCCAGGGATCCTTGGTTTTAAGTCCCATCAGGAGCACTGGCACAGCCCAGTCAAAATCCTCAGTTTGAGTTGCAACAAACAACCAGTGCCTTGGAGGAAGGCAGCAAAATGCCCCACTTTATTTTTTTGGTGCACTTGAGCTTTTGGATCAAAAACTGACCACATTTTTTGATCAGGCAACTGGATTCATTTGATGAAAATCTGCCTGAGTTTTTCACATCAAAGTTTTGATTTAATCACTACCCTAATTTTCTGTCTTGAAACTGTTTCAGTGCAAACTGTGCATGAAGCTCTTCATATAACAGAGGATACTCAATTTTCCATCTCCCTAAGTGTGGTGGCAGGCATTTGTCAGGCCTCTGTCTACATGACTCACATGATGGTAAAGGAACTGGAAAATGTCATCCAGTACTACACAAGCAAGGTTTATGAGTACAAACAGCAAGTTAATGAATATAAGAAGAAAGAAAAGGAAATCCAGAAGGAGAAAGAGAAATGCGAAAAGACCAACGATCAAAAAGCAACTCTTTCAGCACATCAAACACACAAGCTGGACATGTATGTCTCTTCCCTGCGGGTTGTGGTGGAGTTGCTTGCAGATCCCACAAACAGTTCCTTTGAGTGCTGGTCCATTTTGCAAAAAGTTTATTGCCGCCTGCTGCCATTAGTGGGAGAGAAAGAAGACACACCAAAAAGAGAGGAACTGGTTCAAAAGCTAGAATCCATTGTTAGAAAGTTTGTAGAAAATCACAGGGCTATCAAAGGCAAGAATTAGTGCTAAGATGGGCCACTGCAGAGGAGAAAATGGGGCATAGACAGAAGTGACAATTTTCACCCATTCTGGCCACAGAAAGCAATTTATAGCTGTGACCAAACACAAATGCATGCCTGCAGACAGCTTCAAAAAATGGCCGATTGGGTGAAAATCTGGCCCATTGCATGAATTGTCAGAAGAAGACATTTCAAAGCACAGCATCTTCTGTAACTTTTGTCTGTGCTGCCTGCCACCCTCAAGCTCTTTTCAGAATGAAGCGGGGGAAAGGAAGTGGATGGAGTTGGGTCTGAGGGTTTTACATTCCCTGGCTAAAGGGGGAGTAAGTGTATTGGACCCCCTAGGAGGGATGTGTGTGCATGTGTGGCGGGGGGGCTCCAATTCACCCACTCCATGCTCCAGAGCTGCCTGGGGAACCCCTAGAATTAGATCCCTCTACTCCCTTTCCCCTCTCCCATTCTGAAACAGGGACAGACTGGAGGAGAGGAGGGGCCATTTCTTCAGGCTTCAGCCCACAGCTAGATTCCCATTCCCCCTTGCAACCTACAGTGATCTTCTCTTTCTTCCAGGGGATCATTGAAACTCAGCACACTTCCCGAATGATCATATTAATGAAGGCTAGATTTTGTTTTATGAATCTGAATAAGAAACATAACATTTTCTATAACGACTACGGGACTAATAGCATGATAGTTTTTTACTCTTTTTCTGCCTAGCTTATAGTTTTTTAAGCTTAATACATAATCTAGCAAATCACTGCACATTCCAATAGGTGTATTTGTTTTTCTTTTGATCTAAACCGAGTAGTACAGAATTAGGCTCCCCAGCATATTAGTAAGGCTTTTAGTTTCTTTTTAATTGGAGAAAAAGATGTGCTGTGTTATATGTGATGATGCACCACTCAACCAGTATTCCCATTTTCAAAATCCTAGATCCATCCATTAATGGTGACAAGGTTTAACACATTATTAGCACCAAATATGGTCACCATAAGTTTTGTTGAAGATCTGATTTGGGCCTGGCCAAACCATTGATGAGAGTCTCTCACCTTTTAACACAATGGCAGGATTGTGTAAGTCTTTAAAAAATGAAGTCCTTCCCTCCTGAGTGTTTACAGACTTCTGTATTTAATAGGAAGCCATTAAAACAGGTCTGGATAAAGAAGTCAACTATTGCTGGGCTAAATCATCTAGTAAAATGTTCAAATTTAAGGACACTGGCCATTTAATAAATATGCTAATTTCATGGAATGTTTTCAATTTAAAAAAAATGTTTAAAATTGTACAAAAAAATCAAAATGACCTTTTCAGCATTTTTAAATGTTTTAATTTTTCAGTTTGGAATTGCTTTTAATGTCAAGCTTTTCTTACTATGAATTTAAAAATTAGAAAATAAAAATAGATCAATGTTAAATTGAAATGTTTCTGGGTGTTTTTGTTTTTGTTTAGACATTTCTTCTTCCCTGCAGTCATGAAATGTTTTGCTTTATCATTCTGAATAGAACATCTTTTAATTTTTTTCTTGTTTTGTTTCCCCTCACCCTGCAACTCTAGTCTTTTCACCTAAGTAAACTAGGTTTTTCTTAAATGATTATCTGTGAAATCAAAATGGCATCACTTCTCCAATTATACATTGGGCTTATTAGGAAAAGAGGAATAAATAATATCTAAGGAAAATAATTGCTTATGAAGTTTGCAAATAATATGTGGATCATATAGGAATTCAGGCTCACTTGAACAGTGCAAAGGAAAATGTTTTTTAAGCATAATGTATAAGTAGACTGGGATTCTCTGGCAGAGAAAGTTGCTGGGGCCAAAAATTCTTTAGCACAATTCACAGTGGGAATGGAAATGTATGTGAGTGATAAGAATAGCAAGAGGTACCATCAGTTATAGTAACCAGGGCCACTTGTACTCGTGATGCACAGACAATGTATACATGAAGAAAAATTCCCTTTGTGTGGCTTTAAGGTGTCACACTTTACACATATATAGGTTTTTGGCAATTTGAGTTTTCATCATCACAAACCAAACCACGTCCTGATGTAGTTTACTTTACAATGATGCAACTTACACCCATGTAGCCATTAGTTGGTCATGTGTACATGTCAATTCACTGGATGTAGGTTACTGATCCCTTTTGACCATCTAATGTCACTACAATTTTTGTGTAGCGAGCCCTGTTTTTGCAGGTATTTGTGTGTAATGATTGTTTTAGGACACCAGGTGTAGCTGCAGAGCCAGACATGAATCAATCTTCTGCTGACTTCTAGTATTTATTTTATTTAATAGAGATTTCAGAGACACCAACTTGTGGTCATCATCTCCTTTTTCACTTGGTGTGGTGGGTGTCCAATGGGCCCCAGGGTGTTGCAGATCAGGCTGACCCCAGCTCTTTTGGAGATCAATCAGTGTCTGTTGTATGTGCTCCCTTCTTCATTATCAAGGTTAATGCTGTGACAGGTGTACCGTGACCTCATCAGCACTACTACAGAAATAATGCTCAGTGAAGCATGCCATTGAATGCTGCTCACCTAACTTGAGGCTAATGCCACAGGTGCAAACAGAGCCCCACTTCCTGGCTTGACCCAGTAGGCACCAAAACTTGCAACAGTTACAGAGCCTAGGTATTAGGTAGGCCTGTGCGAGTCATCAGCGATCTGATACAGCTTTGGATCCAGCCGCTTTGGGTGGCCGTGATCTGATCCCGACTGGATTTCTGCCTTGATCCAGCTGAAGGGGCTCCGAAGCTTTGAACCTGCCTCAGAGATCCAGCCATAGGGTATAATGGGGGAATCAATGAAATACCTATAAACATTGTTGTTTTTTATCTGATTTGGTTGACACCTGCAGGGATGGTAGCCCCTGATGAGAACATGAAACCTGCCAAGTTTAAAGAGGATAGGTGCAGGAGTTTGGGGGAAACTGTACCCCAAATTCTTGAAAGCCAAACTCATGTCATGGATGTTGTTACACCACAGGGGGGTGAAAACTGCAGGGGTGGTAGCTCCTGGTGAGGGCACAAAGCCTGCCGAGTTTCAAGAAGATTGGTGAAGGGGTTTGGGGGGAACTGCACCTCAAACTGCAGACAAGCAAAACTTGTGACACAGGTGACCCTGTGTGCGTTAAGGCACAGCAGGGTGAAGGCTGCAGGGATGGTAATCCATGCTGTGGCCACACAGCCTGCCAGCTGTTAAGGGGATTGGTGCGGGGGGTTCTGGGGCCTTGCACCCCAAGCTGCTGACGGACTAAACTTGTGACATAGGTGCTTGTGCAACTGGCTGTGTCTGTCTTGGGGCTGTAGATTGCCTGTATTGATTATTTCCTCTCCTTAGTCTCTGCTTTTGTAGGTGTTAACTGATGGCAATTAACTGGCTACATTAGCTAGGTCCTGTGTATTGAGCTGATCCCTTAGTGAATCATGATTGATTGGTAACTGGTAACCCAGTAGCTTAGGAGCCAGGTCTGCAGTAGTGTCTCCCATGCCCCAAGACAGACATAGTCCCACAAGCACCGATGTCATGAGTTTTGCCTGTCAGCAGCTAGCGGTGCAGGGCCCCAGAACCCAGAACCCCCCTGCACCCATCTCCTTGACAGCTGGCAGGCTTCATGGCCACAGCAGGGGCCACCATCCCTGCACCTGTCACCCTGCTGCACCTTAAAACACGCAATGTCACCCAAGACACACCTTTTGCTTGTCCATAGCTTGAGGGGCAGTTCCCCCCAAACCCCTGCACCGATCTTCTTGAAACTTGCAGGTTTTGTGGCCTCAGCAAGAGCTACCAGCCCTGCAGGTTTAATGCCCCCTCCCCCCATGGTGTAACACATAGACAGGAGTGTTGCTTTCAAGAATTTGGGGTGCAGTTCCCCTCAAAATCCTGCACTGATCTTCCTGAAACTTGGCAGGCTTGATGCTCTCTGCAGAGTCTATCACCCTGAAAATTTCATCCAAATAGGACAAAAAACAACAAAGTTATAGATATTTCATTGTTTCCCCATTATACCCTATGGCTGGATCTCCGAGGCCACTCTGAGGCAGCTCCAAAGCACTTCGGAAGCTCTGAACCACTTTGGGAAGCCTAACGATGCCAGTGCTTCAACCTGGACATGCTGCTTTGGACCCCAAACTGTCCGAAGCTTCTCTGGATCTGGAGCTCTGTTTCAAGCCTTGCACAGCCCTAATATTAGGTGCACAGCAAAAATCCCCAGGATTTTCCTGCCAAAAAATGTGAGGAAAAAGCTTCATTCTCCCCCCCCCCCCCCCCCCCCACCCCCCACTACACACACCAGAAATGTTTATTTTTCACACACACACACACACACACACACACACACACACACACCCCTTGCACCTCTAAAACATCCTTCTTCATCTGGCTTCAGCGTAATTGTCCCCCTAGCACCATTAATTCATTCACTGGTTTTATGTGAATCCAACAAATGGAGGTCTGTGAACCTGATCATGACCCTTAAGTGCACCCACTTAATGAATAGTGGGTGAGTTCTGTCACCATTCATTCCATCAGCAGCTATGTGCCAAATGCTCAGCATTTCCTGTCAAGTCCCACTGGGAGAAGTGCCTTGAGATGTGTGTCACTGAGCAGCCTGCTACCATGCTATAGCATGCAGACAGCTAAAGGACCTAGCAGCACTAAAACATGTCCAGAACGAGCATGCCCATAAGATGCAAAAATCTGTCACAAGTTCAGACAGAGCCCCTCTCCCTGCCTTGACCCTCTTCTGGTGCCAAAATGTCCCAGGTGAAGCCCAGTGACTGGCCCCAAAAGTGTCAACAGTTGCAGACCATATCTGCTGTCCACACTTTGCCCAAACCCAACAGGGTGGCAGGGGGGTGAACTTCCCTTGGTCAGGTCACCTCAAGACCTATAAATTGAGAGCACACATCCCCAGGGTACAACTTATTGATTTGAGATGTCTGATGCTTGGGGGAAAATGGGACAGAGTGGGACGTGTAGGTCTAGATCCAATTGGACCTTCACCAAA